TTTGTTCAGTGGTGAAATTCAAAATATTCTGTGGGTGTGGCTTGGTGGGCGTGGCAGGGGAAGGATACTGTAAAATCTCCATTCCCTCCCAATCAGCTGGGACTCGGAAGGCAGAGAATAGATGGGGCGGGGCCAGCCAGAGGTGGGATTTGCCGGTTCTCTGAACTACTCAAAATTTCTCCTTCTGGTTCTACAGAACCGGTCAGAACCTGCTGGATTTCACCCCTAGCTTTTAGCAGAGGGATCCTGGCCTCCCAATGGAAGATCCTTTGAAAATCCCCTTAGGAGCAACAACGAATGAATGGAAACAATATCACCAAGAGAAAGGGACCTACTTTCTTTGGATCATTCAGTCCAATCCAGACACGGATCTGACCTACGAGATAGTCAGTGATGTACTCGGCCAAGTCAGCTGACTCTGCCCTGCTGTGGATGGAGGCGAGGTGGCAGCCTGGCTTCAATTTCCTGCAGGACATCTGGGAGAGAGAGAAAGAGCATATAATTGTGAATGTATATATGAAATTGATAAAATAATAAAAATAATAATAATGAGAAAGAGCAACCAGAAGGAAGGCCGCTGGTTCAGCAGGGAAGAAAGACGTGTGTTTGCGTGTTTGTACTGTGCAAGTGAGACAAGAGCAGGGATCCGATTGCATGGCCCAACCCACGGTCTTGAACCCCACAGATTTCCTCACTGGGGTCTGCAGCTCTTGACCAGTTCCTGGCTTAAATTTCCACTTCATTTATTGCCATCTGAGATGCCCTTCAGAGGCAAAACAGTCTCAAGATGCCAGCCAGAGTTGCCAGCGAAACATCTTGAAATCTCGTGTCTGCAAGACGGTCACTCAACCCTAACGCTCAACCCGGAGTAAGGATTAAAAGAGTTGGGCGGGGTGTTGGAGGTCTTCTAGCCTGCTTTCTCCCTGGTTCGCTTTGACATCCGGGCTCTGTGATTTCCCACGGCCTCCACTTTCCCTGGGGGTGTTTGGAGGTTGCAGCTGGTTCCTCCCCCCTCCTTGTCCCTAGACAGGATTGGGTGAACTTTCCTTCCTCCGTCCTGCCCTGCTTGCACAGTCCAGGGTTTCTGCCTGTATTTTTACTATCTCCCACCCTTTCCTTCCTGTTGTTCTCTCCCCTCCCCCACTCGCCCACCGGATTTATAAAGACAGGCGTGGCCTCCAGGCTGCAAAGTTGGATGCTTCCTTCTAGGAAACTTATGGCTTTTCCTGGCTCTGCACTCCGCAGCCCACCCGGGCCCTCCTTGGCTGGGCACCTCCTGCCACCACCGCTCATCTTACCCATTGCGGGAATTTGATGAAGCCGAGCGGCTCCTTGGCTGGCCCCAGATCCAAACTAAACACAGACATTTCCAGCAGGGAGCAAGTGGAGCGCAAGGGAGGCGTCTCTTCTGGTTTCTCACTCTGGGACTTGGCATGCCGCCCTCTCCTGCCACCTCTGCCCTCTCCATCTACCCCCGTCCCCTCTGCGGATGCAATGGCAGCAGCTTTGGGAGACGCTGGCCAGTGGGGAGGGGGGGGGCTAGGCTAGCACAAATGCTTACGGGTGTAGGCAGGAGGCAGCAGTTCTGTGGATGCACGTGGCAAATGCGAGGCAGGACGAGTGTCGGAGAGGGACAGTTTGGGGGCATGGCCAGCCAGCCATCACTACCGGTTTGGCAACCCACAGCCAATTATCACTACCAGTTCAGCCGAACCGGGAGCAACCCACTTCTTACATACACAGACACGTACTTGAGCCACGGTGGCACACTGGAGTGCAGGCTACTTCTGCTGATTGCTATCTGTCTGCAATTTGACAGTTTAAATCTCACTAGGCTCAAGGTTGACTCAGCCTTCTACCCTTCCGAGGTGGGTAAAAGGAGGACCCAGATTGTTGGGGGTCATAGGTTAACTTTGTAAACCACTTAGAGAGGGCTGTGAAAGCTCTGTGGATCAGTATATACGGTAAGTCTAAGGGCTCTTGCTATTCCTATCCCTCTTCTTTGTGGGAGCCCCTTAGATATTGNGCCAGTGGTGGTTTTCAAAAATTTTACTATCAGTCCTGTGGGTGTGACTAGGTGGGGGGGGGCATGTGACCGAGTGGGCGTGGCCAACTTGATATCACTCATGCACAGTCAGTCACATGACCACCACCACCTAGCCACACCCATCGCAATGGTGATGAAATTTTTTGGGATTCTGACACCGGATTGCAAGTCCGTGCTTGTGCCCTGCCGTTGCACGTGGTGCCTCGACCCCATTTTCATGCCTTCAGGTGAAGCAGAGTGCAGAGCCAGGATGCCATGCAGGGCCCATTTCCCTCCACTGTGGGGATCACCATTCCTTGGAGTAGAAGTGGTGAAGGGAGAGGCATGAGGGGTCTGTCTTGCTGGTGGATGGCTCCCCGGTGCCCACACTAGCCGATCCTCAGCTTTTCACTGGCGGAGGCACAACCCACAGCAGTGGCGTGCTCAGGAGTGGCCGCTCGTCAGCTGTGGAGTCTGGAATGCGGCCAGGGAGTGGCCGATCGTCACGTCCATGCTGGTGAGCAAAGTGAGAGCTTGCAGACACAGACAGCGCTTCTCTACCGACACGCTAAGGCTTCCTAGATCCTGCTAGACTTTACTGACTTTCCTGACTGACGGGTGGATGCCAGCGGTGGTGGCTGCCCAATCAGGGGCACAGAATAAGCCCAGGCCATGAAAGGTGCTGGCAGGCAGCAGCTCCCAGAGCTGACTCTGCACGTGTTTGGTGTGTTTACGCTCACTCTCTTCCCTGTTGCTCCGGCCACTGCAAGAGAAGTCAAGATGGGAGATTTCACCAACTGTGTCTCCTGGGCTTTCTCCCTGGTTCGCTTTGACATCCGGGCTCTGTGATTTCCCACGTCCCCCGCTGTGCCTGGGGGTGTGCTTGGAGGTTGCAGCTGGTTCCTCCCCCCTCCTTGTCCCTAGACAGGATTGGGTGAACTTTCCTCCCACCCTCCCGCCCTGCTTGCACAGTCCAGGGTTTCTGCCTGTATTTTTCCTATCTCCCACCCTTTCCTTCCCGTTGTTCTCTCCCCTCCACCACTCGCCCACCGGATTTATAAAGACAGGCGTAGCCTCCATCCTACAAAATTGGATGCTTCAATTCCTTCTAGGAAACTTATGGCTTTTCCTGGCTCTGTGCTCCGCAGACCACCAGGGCCCTGCTTGGCTGGGCATCTCCCATTGCCACCGCTCATCGTACCCATTGCGGGACTTTGATGAAGCCGAGTGGCTCCTTGGCTGGCCCCAGATCCAAACTAAACCCGGACATTTCCAGCGGGGAGCAAGCGGAGCGCAAGGGAGGCGTTTCTTCTGGTTTCTCATTCTGGGACTTGGCATGCCGCCCTCTCCTGCCACCTCTGCCCTCTCCAGCATGCTACCCCCGTCCCCTCTGCGGCTGCAATGGCAGCAGCTTTGGGAGACGCTGGCCAGTGGGGGGGGGGGGCTAGGCTAGCGCAAATGCTTACGGGTGTAGTCAGGAGGCAGCAGTTCTGTGGATGCACATGGCAAATGCGAGGCAGGATGAGTGTCGGAGAGGGACAGTTTGGGGGCATGGCCAGCCAGTCATCACTACTGGTTTGGCAACCCACAGCCAATTATCACTACCAGTTCGGCCAAAGCGGGAGCAACCCACTTCTTACATCCACACAAACACACTTTAGCCACGGTGGCACACTGGAGTGCAGGCTACTTCTGCTGACTGCTGTCTGTCTGCGATTTGACAGTTTAAATCTCACAAGGCTCAAGGTTGACTCAGCCTTGTGCCCTTCCGAGGTGGGTGAAACAAGGACCGAGATTATTGGGGGTCATAGATTGATTCTGTAAATGGCTTAGAGGGGGCTGTGAAAGCTCTGTGGAGCAATATATATGGTAAGTCTAAGGGCTCTTGCTATTCCTATCCCTCTTCTTTGTGGGAGCCCCTTAGATATTGGAAGTCCCCCTGGTCCTTCTTTTCACCACAATAGTCAAACCCAATTCCTGCAACCGTTCTTCATATGTTTTAGCCCCCAGCCTCTTACTCTGCCCAACAGATACTGGACAAACCATAATACACTCCGTAGAATACTTGAATTTCAAATTGTTCTAAAATCATGACCTTTGTTCCCTTTTCATGCACCCATCCTGGTGTCCTCCACTTCAGCCCAGCCAGAGGTGACTTTGAGGGTCTTCTCCTCCCCCTGGGCCAAGATAAAAGCCCTTCTAACCTCTGCTTCGTTCCAAGTCTTCTGTTCACCGAAGACCTTATAGCAAAGCCCGTTCCCGGGGAGCCAATCTAGAGGACACTGATAGCCTTTGGCTCCTGTGGGGGAAGAGAGAAAGCCAATGAGAAGATGGCCAGGAGAAGAGGAGGAGGAGGAGACAGCTGGGTCTGCAGAACATGCTTTATCTCCTGAGCTACCAACATCTTTGAAACTGACTTGGCCTCGGACGGAGTGGCTGCATTTGCAGATAGTCCAAAGCTTAGTTAGGGTTGGCCTTGCTTAATTCCCTTCAAGCTGCTAGTCTTGTGTGAACCCCTCAGCTTTTGTTGGTCTCTCCTTCACTGAACTGTGATGAGATGGAAAATGGATTCCTTCCAGAACCAGGCTGTTGACTGGTGCAACGGTCAGGGATCTAGTGGGTCTCTTCTGAAGGATCTGCATTGGCCTCCTGCATGATCCGTAACCACTGAAGCCCTGAATGGCTGAGTGGCTAATTTTTTGTGGGACTGCCCACTGGTGCCCACTGCCCAGGAGGGGTCCTACTGAAGAATCCCCTCCCCACCATTGGATCCTCAGCTCCCAGGTCCCTGGAAAAGGGTCTCAGCTCTTGTGTGGGTCCCAGGGACAGGGATCCTAGCCCCACTCAGCTTTTATTTCTTTCAACTCTATTTATTCATGTAATAAATTTATGTCCTGTCGAAGCAGCTTTTTAATGGAGAAAAGGACTGTTCTTTTGCCAAACCTTTAACTGTTCATGAATGATTCTGAATTTCAATTGTATTATTTTTGCTTTGTTTTCCGTGGTTGCAAAAGGGAAGTGGGACCTTCCATAGAAACGATCTCCTGTGGGTCTCTCTCTGTCTTTCCCATGTAGATCCCCAATAGATCTCTTTTCTCCTGAGGGACCCTCCCGCAGATCCCCTGCTGCAAACAGGACATCCCCCGCAGCCCCCTTGCAAGAGGTCCCTTCAGATGGAGAGAGAGACGCAGGGGCCTCACCTGCCAGGTGCCCACAGGTGGGAGAGCCCCACTCACCTGTCCCTTCGCCTCCACAGGTAGAAAGTCTGGTCAGTGGCAACTCCAGGCTCCCCTCCAGAGGGGGCAAGGCCAGGGATGGATCTATTGCGGGGGGGGGTGGGGTGGAGGGAAGGAGGAAATACTTTTCTTGAGAAAGGTGTGTTGGTCTAACAAGCAGAATTAAGCTTTTTTTCCATTCTTTCCAAGGAAAGGCTAAGTACCCCCTTGAATCCCTATGTAAGCATCAGGTTCATTTGTTCAAACCACTGGAACATCTTCCCATATCACATTAAACTCTGGCTGGCAACAATAATGACGACATTGATTATAAAACATCTATTCTCTATTACAAGATAAACATTAAAAGTCCTGCATCAAATGGAAGTTTCCTCAAACCTCCTTAAATTCTCGTCTGCATGTGTGTGTCTGTGTGTGTTTGGCTTTTTACCTAAAAGACAAATCA